TACTTGTAAAGTCATTGTTTCTGGATAATTTTTCTGTGCTTTTCTAGTCTTTGTCACTTTTGGTTTTTCTTTGCCATTCGAAGACTCCCTTTTAATACTTCTTGCAGAGCTGGTTTAATGGTCACAAATACTTTTCATTTTTCTTTGTCTCAAACCCTTTATCTCTCCTTCTATTATGAGTGACTGTCTTGTCTGATAAAGTATTCTTGGCTTTATTTTTCCCTTTCAACACATTGAATATATCATGCTACTCTTCTCCAACCTGTCAAGCTCCTATGACTAGGTCTGCTACTAACTTTATTTGTCTTCCCTTATAAGTTAGGGATTTCTTTTCCCTTGCTGCTTTTAGGAATTTTTCCTTATCTTTGTATTTTGTAAATTTTACTATGATATGTCTTGGTATTGGTCTGCTTTTGTTGATTTTGAGTTATCTATGCCTCATGTATTTAGATATCTATTTCCTCCCGCAGATTAGGGAAATTTTCAGCTATATTTTGCTGAAATAAACCCTCTGTCCTTTTCCCCCTTCTTTCTTCTTCTGGGACTCCTATGACACAAATGTTATACTTTATGGAGCCACTGATTTCCCTAAATCTACATTCATGGTTTGATATTTTTCTTTTCCTCTTTTCAGCTTCATCCTTTTCCATGTTTTTATTTTCTGTATTGCTTATTTATTCCTCTGCTTCTTGCATCCTTATGATCGTTACATCCAGCTGGCTTCACATCATGGTTATAGAAATTTTTTTTTTTATTTCAGCCTGACTAGTTTTTGGGTCTCTTATCTCTGTGGTTATGGACTCCCTGGTCTTCTGTGTTTTTCTCAAGCTTAGCTAGTATCTTTAATGGTTGTTACTTTTAATTCTGGGTCAGGTATATCATTTATATCTGTTTGAATTAGATCCCTGGCTGTAATCTTTTATTTTCTTTCCTTTAGGATGAATTCTCCATCTTGGCATTTTGTCTAGGTCTCTGTCTTCTGTGTGTTAGGAAAGTTTGTCATGTTTCCTGCTCAGGAAAGTAATGAATTTATTAAGAAGAGGTCATATACCGTCCAAGGCCTGGTGCTTCAAGAAGTATTTCTGGCGTGTGTTGTACGCACTTTGGTTTCTCTTTCCCTCAGGTCAGTCCCCTGCAGAGATTCTCCTTCCCTGTAGTGAGGAGTGTTTGGACCTTGTCCAGTGTGTGCTAAGTTTTAACTAGGTGTGCTCTGGACAGCTTGTTAAAAGAGGCATGATCCTAGAGATGAAGCCTTATAGCACTCTATGGTTAATAAATTTGGTGCATGTAGACAGTTTATGCTGGTCTTCTGGGGAAGGGGCCTGCTGCTCTAGGTCTCAGGCACACATGCCCTAAGAAACCAGTACCTGCAGAGCACAGAGGGGCGGGGCTTGGTGTAAGCAATTTAGGTCACCACTGTGCGTGCTGTGCTGCTCATGTGAAGTCAGTCTGTATTGATGAGTAGGGGAGAAAAAATGGCACCAGCCCTTTCCCTTGTTCTTGGAGAGGGGAGTTCATGCTTACCGCTGTCCAGAAAGTCCTCCCAAAGAGCAACTAATGCTCCCTCATGTGACAGATGTCAAGTCATCCCTCAGATCTCTGCCTTCACTCTTGTCTGTGTCCCAGTCCTCTGCCCACTGAGCAGCACGGTGTGTCTGTGTTTTATCCAAGGCATACTGGTTGAGTTTCAAAACTCCAGACTTTAGGAACTTGCATTGGTGCAGACCTGCACTGGTCCCCTGGTAGACATCTCACCACACTGGAGCTGGTGATGGTTTGTCCTAGAAGGGCAGTCACATCAACATGAAGGAACTTGGAGATTAGAGAGAAGCACAGCAAGAAGCTGGCATCTATGTTAGCTGCCTCTATACTAAGGAACATGCAGTACAGTGGTGCCCATCTGCTCTTTTTTCCCTGAGAAGCAATGCCAACTCTCCCAGATGCACTCTGAGAAGGGAGAAACAGCTCTCCTACTGAACTCCAGGAATCCTCAGACCAGCTGTCCACTCCTGGGCCTCTGCTCTCCTTTTCCACAGGAGCACCATTGCACCTCCCAGGCTCCACACTAGCCTCTGCATGGACATCTGAAACTTTAGACTTTGAGCTCCTCTGGCTGTTAAAACTCACAATAAACAGCTCCTTTTATTTTTCTAGTCAATGATTTTAGGGAAGGGGAAGTTTTTTGTTTGTTTGTTTTGTTTTTGTGTTTTGTTTTATTTTGTTTTATTAATCTCTAGGCACTGTGCACCCTCTCTCTCTCTCTCCTCTTCTGTCCGTGATCAACGCTTCCTCTTCTCCATAGCAACTGCAATTGTTTTCTCACTCAAATCATATTTCCACACCTCCTACCTTCCATGATGTGGCTTCTTCTCTCCCTTTAGCTGTGCACTTTGTTTTCTCAGTCCTCAAATTAATTTTTTGGATGTTCAGAATGATTTAATATCTATCTAACTGTGTTTGAGGGATGAAGCAAGTGCCATCTTAATTTCCTCTTCAATAATACCAAACTCTTATTATCTTCCTTCTCTGACAGTAAGAAAGCTGTAGAACTTCTTTATTTTTCTATGTAGTAGGTTTACATCTGTGTGTGCATATAAATATATATGTATATATGTGTATAAATGTGTGTTTTTATATACATACACACAAATCTTGCTATTTAGAGAAAAGTCTTCTTTTTTGAGACTTAGAATATCTCCCATAGATTCTTGTTTTGGCTGAGTACTCTAAGGAAATTATTTGGGAGTGGGATTTCTCTTTATGTAACTATTTAATTGTAATATTTAGGTTTATTTTTGAGAAGAGTAGAAAGGTCTACTTAGAGGCCTATTGGAGATAAAGAAAAAAGAAAAGTGAGGTAGTTTGGGTAGGGAAGAGGGATTCCTGTGGAAGAAAAGAAACATTCAAACAGATGTTTATTAATACAGATGTGTGATATGTAATGTAACCACTCCTTCCTCATTTCTTCAGTAAAATACATTTTCTTTACTGATAATACATTAAAAGGTATAATCCATTTTGAATATGAAGAACAGCACAGTATTTTTCATCATTAGCAGGAACAAATATTGATTAAAGGGAAAGTATCATACTTAAGAGATTATATCTATCTATGTATCCATCTATTATCTACCTATCCATCATATTACTTTTAAGTCATTTTGGAAGCAGACAAAAGACAAATAAATGCTAAAAATCTACATATATGCACAGACAATAATTTTAATTATAAATAATTTAACATTTAGACATAATAATCTCTCTGCAATATTTTGTTATTTCCTCACTGAATTATACTTATGTCACCATAAAATAAGCTTTTTTATCTAATTTTCTCTAGGTCACAGAAAACAGAAATTGCACCTTAAGAAAGATAATATTTTCAAGTTAGGTATGTCAAGAAGTAGGAAAACTTCATTACAGATAATGTGGTATATATGGAAAGTTTATACACATTTTTCAGATGAAAGAAAACATGTAAAAATTCTCAGTGCAACATTTGAATTATTTTGGATATTAATTCTACAAGTTATTTTCATTGCACCATTAAAATGCTGATATGTTAACACTTTAAGTTAAGTGTCTCAAATGTGCATTTAATTTATATTTAATAACACAAGTTTTGCTTATGAAAACCAAGTCAATTATTGAAAGCATTTCCCAAGGTTTAGCAATTATTTAAGAGCTGCATTTACTATAAAGTAATTAGCTCAAATGGCATGTTCATGAAAGCAGATTTAGAACAACTTTACATATTGATACGAAAGGGAAATGTTTAATACCAGTATAGCTGAAAATATTCAAATTTATTTAATCTGGCAGGCATTTTATTTTCAACAAAGGGACAAATACATATTTCAAGTGGCATTTTAACACTTTCAAGATGCAAAATCACCATATTTATAGCTGTAATTTCATGTAAAATAAAAATGTCAAAATTAATTGAATGGTATAAAAATTTAGAACAGTTCTTATTCTGTTTATATTTATGTTATTAACTTTCTTATTTGAGTTATATCATATAGGCAAAAGTATATTTTATCTGTATGTACATATTACATAATAAGATGAAACTAAGTAAAAACATTGTAACTTGCTTTGCAAATTAGAATACTACAAAGAAAGTTGGATCTTTCTGTGAGCATTTACTGGTCACACCTCCCATCCTTCTGCCAAGAGGCAGCCACTATTTTGAATTTTAGGTTTTTCATTCCCTTGGTTTGCTTTACAGATTTACACACACATACTCACAAACACATTTAACTAATATATTATTTGGTTTTTCCTTGTTTTAAACTACATAATACATAATACATTATAAAGTAAATATATTCATACATGTAAAATTAGTATTCAATTGCATACATATTCAAGTCTTTCCCTGCTGAGAAATTTTGGTTAGTATCTTTTTGTTATCTCTGTTATAAACAAAGCTGTTATTAACATTCTTGTACACATCCACCATCACATGTATGTAAGAGCCTATGAGTAATATATGTATAAGTGAAATGCTCATTTATAGGGCATGTACATGTTTAACTTTAGTGGTTAATAATAAATACTTACAAAGTGGTTATTAACCATATATTTGTAAGAATTTTGATTTTTTTTGTGTGTGTACACATTTAGTTTTATTGTAACAAAGCAACTTGTACACTTTTAACATTTAAAACTGAGCATCATCTTTCCTTTCCAGTGAAATAAAAAGAAAATTTAAAAATAAACAGGAACAAAATTACAATAGAGAATGTCAATTCCAAATAAGATCCTACAAGTTCTGCTGATTCTCCCATTGAGTGGCAGGGCTCAAGTCATCATTAGGAGAGTTTTATTTTTAAAGTGTCATCTTAAACTGCAAGGATGTCCGTTAAACATCACAATTAAACATGCCAAAGGAGAAGCCATGTTGTCAAAATGCCCACTTAACCCACCCCAAACATCTCAAACCCACCCTTTGCTGACCTTCTATAACCCCGTTTTTTTTTAAGTTTTTTTTTTCTTTTTTTTTAAACAAGAGAAAGTAGACAGGTACATGTTGGTAAATGCTAACTGTCCATGTTCACATAGAGACATAGTGTAATCTCTGAGCCCAATATACAGAGAAAGGAGGAAAAAAGCTAGAATTCTATGCACTACTACATAGGGGCCTAGCACCCTCCAGCTTCCAGCAGAGCTAAGGGAGCAGAAGGTTTTTCTTTTTTCCCACAGAGCACGGTGGTATTGATTCCATAAAGTTTTTGTTTTTGTTGAGACAGGAAGGGACAAAAATGAATTTGGAACAAAAAGGGGTAGAGATTCTTTTCCCACTGTATTCTGCTCAAGGTATTTCCCCCCAAAATAAGCTGAGAACCATGGTATAAAGGGAGAGAAAAAGGAGACTTCAAAAAACAGGGCGAATGAGCACAAGAGGAGAAAAGAAAAAGAAAAAGGAAAAAAAAATGACGGCAACTTGCTCGCAGGGACTGAAGAAAATTTAAAAAGGAAGGTTGGAATCCATCAGTGTTCCATTAATCATCTTCTCCTTCATCCTCCTCTCCTTCCACCCTCTCATCATCATCTTCATCTTCTTCACCTTCATCCTCATCTCCTTCTTCATCAATATCTTCCAATTCTTCTTCTTCTTCATCGTCATCATCATCATCTTCTTCTCCTTCCCCTTCTTCGTCATCCATATCGGGAACCAAGTAGTACTGTAATGGATTTGGCCAAATATCATCTTTGATGACCTCTCCTAACTCATCTGTGCCTGCATCAAAATGGTCAGTAAACCAGGTGAAGAAGCTCTCTGGTTCCTCATGCTGTCTCTTCCTGCTGGCTTTATTCTGTGTTTGACTTGAACGTTTCATCAAATCCTTTCCAGATTTCCATTTTATTTCAATGGACTTTGAAAATGGATCACCACTCTCATTCAGATGAAATTCTTTGGAGAGAACTTTATTTTCAAAGTAAGGGTTTTCATCAAAATAAAAATCTATTCTGTAACCTGATTTAATATCTTCAAATTCTGTCACTTCAACTCTTGTCAAATAATGCAGCGCCTCTTCATCCTCCTCCCCAAGCAGTGTAGACGTAGACACTTCTGGATGGTTGACAAATGTTGTTACCCAAAAACTGGGGATTTTGGCGATCAATTCCAACCTCTTCTGAAAAAATGGTTGGCAGAGTTTGTTATATTTCTGTTCTACTTTCAAAATCTCCTCACTGGCTTGTTCATTAAGTCTGTCTATTTCATTTTGTATTTCATCAATATGTTCAATTGCTTCTTGCTGTTCTTTTTCTCCCTTATGCAAGTGCTGAGATGTTGACGTCTGCCCTGGCCTGGGGGCAGGAGGCAGTCTAGGTTTCTTCATTTGAGGCGGGAGAGGAGACTGGCGTTTGGGGGCCATGCTGCGAGGAAACTCCAGGAAACCAGGAGAGAGGCATGTCTGGAAGCTCTGATTGAGAATTTTGATTGTTTTAAACAGGCACCACACTTGATAATGTCACACTTTATAGAGTTTTATTGGTTATATTTGCTTAGTTTTGTTTTTTGTTTGCATTTTATAAAAGAGGGAGCACATATTGTTTTTAAAATGTAAATCTTCCTCAACTTCACTGTTAATCATAAACATGTGAAAAAAATCCACAACGAGATATTATTTTACTCTTACAAAATTAAAGAAAAAAATAAAGAAAATGCAATGAGACGGACTTAAAACATCTGCCAACAGTTGCATACATAGTATAAAAGCCCAATAATTAAAATGGTACAACACTCTGTCATAAATATATTTATTGGGTTAATGTAATCCAACTAAAATGTAGAATGGAGCTTAATATGAATGGATATTTAGTACATGATAAAAGTATTGTATGTAATCTACAAGTGAAGGTAAACTTTGTAATAAATTATGTTTGAAGTATTAGCTAGTCATCAGAGAAAAGAAAACAGTAATAAAATAATCTCATGTTCCATGTCAGGATTTATGAGTTGATCAAAGTTCTAAGGATAAAAAGGAGACAAGAAAGATAAATAAAAAGCACTCAAATTGGAAAAGAAAAAAATAAAACTATCAATATTTGGAGATGACATGATAAGTATGTAGAGAAAATCCTAAAGACTAACAACAACAACAACAACAAACTATTTGAAATAATAAATTAACTTGGTAAAATTGCAAGATACAAAATTAAAATGCAAAATTCTGTTACATATATCTATACTAACTATGGACTATTAGAAAGGGAAGTTAAGAAAATAATTCCATTTACAATTTCATCAAAAAGAACAAAATACCTAGAAATAGATTTAACCAAGTAGGTAAAGAACTTATACTCTGAAAATTACAAAACAGTGATGAAAGAAATTGAAGATGACACAAATAATTGGGAAGATATATTGTGCACATGGATTGGAAGAATTAATATTGTTTAAAAGTCCATATTCCTCAAAGAAATCAACAGATTTGATGCAATAAATATCAAAATATTAATCCCATTTTTCACAGAGCTAGAACAGATCATCCTAAAATTTGTATAGAACCACAAAAGCCTCCAAGTAGCCAAAGCTATCTTGAGAAAGAAGACTAAAGCTGTAGGTATCACACTCCCTGATTTCAATCTATACTATAAAGCTCTACTAATCAAAATAGTATGGTGGTGGCACGAAAATGCAGACACATAGATCAATGGAACAGGATAGAAAACCTAGAAAAAAAATCCAAGTTATGTAGTCAATTAATCTAAGACAAAAAAGGCAAAAATATGCAATGGGAAAATGAGAGTCTGTTCAATAAATGGTACTGGGAAATCCTGAACAATTACATGTGAAAGAATGATAACTGAATGGCTTTCTTACACCATATACAAAAAAAAAAAACTCAAAATGGATTAAAGCCTTGAATCTAAGATGGGAGACTATAAAACTCCTAGAAGAAAACAGGGAGTAATGTCTTTGACATTAGGTTAAGCAATGTTTTGAGGATCTGTTTCCTCCCGCAAGGGAAACAAAAACAAAAATAAAACAAATGGAACATCAAATTTAAAAGCTTCTGCATAGCAAAGGAAACAATTAACAAAATGTTGTAAAGGCAACCTACAGAGTGGAAGAAGATATTTACAGATCATATATAAGATAAGAGGTTAATATCAAAAATATATAAAGGACTCACACAACTTAATATCAAAAAACATAAACCAATAAAAGGGGGGTCTGAATAGACATTTCTTCAAAGAAGACATGCAAATAGTCAACAGACTCTTGAAAAGATGTTAAACATCACTAATCATCAAGGAAATGGAAATCAAAACCACAATGAGACACTGGCTCACATCTGTCAGATGGTTGTTATCAAAAAGATAAGAAATAACTAGTGTTGGTGAGGATGTGGAGAAAAGGGAATCCTTGTTCACTGTTGGTGGAATGCAAAATGATACAGCCACTGTGGAAGCAATATGAAGGTTCCTCAAAAATTAAAAATAGAAATACCACATGATCCTGCAATTCTACTTCTGGGTATTTATCTGGAGAAAACGAGAACACTAAATAGATATATGCAACCCTATGTTTATTTCAATATTATTTACAATGACCAAGACATGGAAGTAACCTAAGTGTCTGTGGATAGATGAATGGATAAAGATGAGAATGTGTGTGTGTGTGTGTGTATACACACACACACACACATACACACACACACATATATATATATATATATTTACTCAGCCATAAAAATGAATGAAACTTTACCATTTGTGACATCATGGATGTACCTAGAGGGTATTGTTCTAAGTAAAATAAGTCAGACAGAAAAAGACAAATACCATATGATTTCACTTATGTGTAGATTCTAAATACAACACACACACACACAGACACACACACACACAGACATGTAGTTTCAGAGAACAACTGCTAGTTGTCATAAGGGAAGGTGGAGGGAGTTGGACAATGAAAAAGATTAAAAGATGCAAACATCCAGTTATAAAATAAATAATTCCTGGGAATATAATGTACAGCATAGGGATTATAGTAAAAAAAAAAAGTTTTAACTCCTTTGGTGAAAGGTAGGTAGCTAGACTTATGATAGTGATCTTGGTGACTTTCATCATAGTGATTTGGTAATGTATATAAATGTTGAAGCAAGACGTTTCACACTTGAAACTTATATAATATCATATATTAACTACTCTTCAATACAGATAAATAAATGTAAAAAGTAAAGAACAACCAGAAAGAAACCTGAATTATTGCTTTATATCTTTGGAGTTGGGCAGTCCTTGCTAATTGTGTCACAAAATACAGAGTCCATAAATGAAAGGATGGATAAATCAAATTACATAAAAATTGAAAATCATGCATAAAAAAAACCCTTAATCAAAGGAAAGTAAACAATGGGAAATGTGTGTGTTTATATGGGCATGTGCCATTTAGACCATAGGGCAAATCTCCCTGTTGGTAAAATTGTTAAAGAAGTTGTGAGTAAACTCTCTTTTTCTTCTCACTGGGTATGTTAAAGGTCTTGTTTTTTTTCTGTTCTGCCCTTTTACTACATGTAAAAGGATTGATTTTATACATCTATTATTTTACACTGTGTTTTGCTTAATGAATATTTTTATTTTCCTCTTTCCACTTTATCTACTACTGGAATTGTGATTAAGAATATATTAGAGCCATGCTTCCAAAATTTCAATTCTTCTTTGATATTCCCAAACATTTTTGATGGCAATATATTTGATTTAATTACTGGTTATATAACTTATTTGAATCTATCTAATAACTTATCAATTCTCTTCCATCTCAATCTAATTCTGTTTCACTCATATGTTTTTCTTGTTTTATATTTTCAGTTTAATTTCTAGAAGTTCTGTTTATTTTTCAAAGACTTCTGTTCATTTTCATAGCTTCTGTTGTCTTTTTTATAACTTTAAGATTTTCTTTGTTTTTTTAACCCTTATGAATTATAGCATTTATGATACTGACTATAAACATATTCAAAATTATATATAATACATATATAAATTATATTATATATATTTTATATACATACCCTAAGATGTGTGCCAAATCTTGCTTATTGTGTTTTATTTGGCAAGTTTTATTCTGTGTTCCTATTCCTTAGAATGTGTGGCCTTGATGAAACAAGAGAATGAAGACTTGTTCTCCCACCAGAAGCAATAATAAAACATGACAAAATATATGAAATGACCATTTCAGACAACAGACAACAGATAACACAATACTGTAATGTCTGAGAGAAAGTAAATAAACTAGCTGAGCCCTATGCTCACCTGAGTTTTCTGCCTAGAGACATTTTGGACCAATGCACCTGAGGAGGAATGCGTTCAAAGAGAAGTAACCTTGATGAGTTGAAGAGACAGATGCCAGAGTTGAGATAATGCTGACAAAGAGCATTTATGAGTACATGGGAAAACATGTGGGAAGTGAGAACACCAGGTCTGAGGTGCAGCTGTCTTCTAGAAACGCAGGTTAACATAAAAACACAGGTAGTAAGTAAAAGAATGGAAAAACGATATACCATGCAGTCAATAATCCTAAGAAGACTGGAATGGTTGCGTTAATATATGACGAAGACTTCACAACACATATGCTTACCAGCGATAAAGAGAAAAACTTTTAATGATAAAGGAGTCAATTTTTCAAGAAGATATATAAATTGTAAGTGTGTATTTACAGAAAGACAGTTATTCAGAAAACATGAATGTGGAATTTAAAGGAGAAATACACAAATTTACATTTATATTTGAAGATTTCAAATCACTCTCAATAATTGATTTAAAAATAGGTAGAAAACCAGTAAATTATAGAAGACATGAACATTCTCATTCGAATTGGTCTAAAGGACATTTTATAGAGCAAACTAACAATGACAGAATTCACATTCTTTCAAAGTACAAATGAAACTGTCCACGAAATGGACCGTATGTTGTACCATAAAAAATTCAGTAAGTTTAGATGATTAAAATAAATAGAGTATATTCTCTGATGAAAATTAACTCCATAAATCAGTAATAAAAATAGATTGAGAAAGCCCTAAATATTTGAAAGTTAAATCCCTCATTTCTAAACAAACTACGGGCCAAAAATAAGGGGAGTTAGACATATTTTTAACAAATGATAGTCGAATCACAGCATACCAAAATGTATATGAGTCAGCTAAAGTAACGCTGAGAGGGAGAGTAATAATTTAAATGCTCATACTAGACAAAATAAAGATCTCACATCAAAAACTTTGATTCTACCTTAATCCATTAAAAAAATTAAATGCGAAATAATTAAGAAGAAAGAGATGAGAGTAAAATTATGTATCAGTAGAATAAAAAATAGAAAAAGTAAGGAGATAAATCAGTGGATCTGAATTGACATATTCTAAAAGATTAAGAATGTAAAACTTCAGCTAGA